CAATGATCTCAAGTCGCGGACCCTGCGCAGCAGCGTGCGCCGCCCCAGCGAGCACTGCACCGAGGCGTCGCGGCGCGGGTTCACCTGCACCGCCACGTCCCGGCTGCTGGCCCTGCGGGGCCGCGGGCCGAGGTCCGGGCTCACCTGCGACAGGAGGGCCATGAGCTGCGCCCGCTGGTAGCTGTCGAAATACTCGGCGGCCGTCAGCTGCCCGCAGCCCGGGAAAGCCGGCAAGGCCGCCCCGGCAGAGGAGGACGACGAGGAGGAGGAGGAGGACGCGGGAGCGTAGCCCCCGCCCCGGTGCCGCCAGCCGCCCGCCTCGCCCTTGCCCTTGGCGGTGGGCGGGTAGGGGTACGGGTACGAGTAGGGGACGCACGCCGGGTACATGTAGCCGTCCAGCACCTCGTCCCCCGGGGCAGCCATAAACGCAGCCCCGGCCGCTCCCGCAGACGCCCTGCCCTAAATAGGCTGCCGGCCGCCGGCCCCACCGCAGGTCTCCGCGCTGCGCGGCCATCCGCACCTTTCCCGCCGCCCGCTCGGGTCCCCGGGTCCGCGCCGAGGTGGCCTGTCCCTGACCTTCGCTGTGTGGAAATTTACCACGCCTGGAGGCCGGCACAAACACCCAGACATGATCTGGAAAGGTTGCTTTCTTTGCGATGCAAGAACTGATTGGTAAGTGAGCTTGCCCGAGGTGAGGAGGAGGCCAAGAGAGCGCAATCACCCCGATTAGCTGCGCCAGGTGGTCCCCATACCTTGATTGTTCCAGGTGTCCGTGTCTGGCTAGTGAGCAAAAACGCAAAGGTTTGGGGAACTGCTTTGGGTCTGTTACCTAGGATCTCAGATTCTAGTTCAATGATCTCAGAACTGCTCTGAGAAGGCTACCCACTGAACGCTTTGGGCAGGTGCACAGGGACAGCACTCAAAGCATCCACATCTGAGCTCATTGTTTTCTCTTCTCGACCCTGAAGCACGTCCTCTCCTCCCCTGCGCTTCAAGCGGAGAGTCTATTGTTCTTCTCTGGGGTGGATCGTACTACAGTTTTTCCTAAGCAAACCATCCCTCTAAAAGATTGATTTGGGGTGTGTTACATAAGTGCAGAGACAAAATCAGTCCCCAGCTGAGAAGACAATACCTTGTTCCCTGGGGGGGTGGGGGGGGGGCGGGAATGATAGCTGTTCATTACTAACAGATATCAGGTCAAGTAATCAAATGCATTAATGTATTTTTTTTCTGATTTGATACAGGTTTGACAATAAATTACTGTATTTCATTGTTTAGTTGACCTGTTTGGGGATTTTTTGAATACAGATCAAAATTCAACATTTTCAGGTATTTCTACATGGAGCAAGCACTTTTTTTTTTTCTAACAACAATTACATTCAACTCAGTTATGGTTTACAAATTGCTTTACAAGTTATGTTTTACCAAAAAAACAAAAAAACAAAAACAAAACAAAACTTGTTTTTACTACCATAAGAGTGCACCCAAATTCTGCATTTCCAAGACCCTGTTTTCTAAGAGTGTATGTATTTGAAACAGTCCTAGAAATTGGTAATGATAAAAACCAAAGAGCACATGAACATGTTCAGGCTTTACTTCAGCAGTCCCGGGTGCAAGTTGTATTATGACATTGATGTGTAATTTGCGAAAGTGCTTGGTTAATACACCAATACAACCTTACAACGGGAAGAAGGTCATAACTGTTACATGTATGATAATGTGAACCATGTGTTACCCTTTATGTCAACCACATTCACTACCACAGACGAAAAACATCATAAATATGAAGTAACATTTCAGCAAGATAGAAACTCCTCTGTATCTCCGTGTTCAGAGAGAAGTCTGAGTGGTTCCCATCATAATTAAATTGTCAGCTTTCACTGTGCCATAGGAAGGGTCCGCCATTTCCTCTTCTTTTAGTTTCTTGTAAGAAACGTCTGTATCTTCATCTTCATCTAGAGGATCTCGCTTGTGTAGTATCTCACTTCCATACACCTTATATATTAAAACAAAAATCCCTGCTTCTGCGGACTGGAAAAGGGCATACAGCAAAGGAAACATGTACATGCTTCCTATCAACTGCGGCCGGAAGGCCAGTTTTAGAATGGCGGTACAGAGCTGCACATTCTGACTCCCTGTCTCCAGGCACACGGTCCTCTTGCAGTTGGGCGGAAGACGGAAGAGAGTAGCTAAGCCGTAGCCTGAGGCATAGCCTGCCAAGGGCATGAAAATGGCTACCACGTAAACACTTGCGGGAATGCTTGCCAACAGTTCAGGTCCTAACATAGTGCCAGTCATTATGAAAAGGACCACCAGTGTCACTAGCAGAGACCACAGGGAGACCTAGTAATAGAAAATGACAAGCCGTCAGAAACAAGATAGTCGGAAAGGAATTAAGGCAAGAGAATCCTCAGCTCTTGGGAGAAGAGACCCATGTAGCCCCACCCCACACACAAAATGGAGATCTTTGCCCTAAGCAGTCTTTGACAAAGCACTTCTGAGGATGGATAGGTCACCTCATCAGGAGTCGTCCAGATCCTAGCTGGACAGTTCTGATTGTTTGGAGGCCTGTCCTTATGTCTAGTGACAATCTGCTTTCTTTAACAACCAGCCATCGTCTTGGATAGACCCTCAGGAGCAGCACAGACCAGACTTCTGTTTTAAAAAACAGGAAGAGGGGCGCCTGGGTGGCGCAGTCGGTTAAGCGTCCGCCTTCAGCCAGGTCACGATCTCGCAGTCCGTGAGTTCGAGCCCCGCGTCGGGCTCTGGGGCTCTGGGCTGATGGCTCAGAGCCTGGAGCCTGTTTCCGATTCTGTGTCTCCCTCTCTCTCTGCCCCTCCCCCGTTCATGCTCTGTCTCTCTCTGTCCCAAAAATAAATAAAAAACGTTGAAAAAAAATTTAAAAAAAAATAAAATAAAAAACAGGAAGAAAAGGCTACTCGTCTCCAGACTTTCACATAACTCTGTGGTGGGAGTCCTGACTGTTCAGAACATGTATTTAATTTGTGAATGTGCCTCTTCTAAACAGCAGTTAGAATAAAGCCTGATATACCAAGTATGGTCTGATGAACAGAGAGAGGAAAAGAAAAATTACCTTCCCTGAACAGGACCCCATGTTTTCCATAAGAGATATATCTCTGGTTGATCTCTGGTTTAACCCATGAGATAAAAAGCCACTAAAATGTATGCAACTTATAAAATAAATTTAAAAAAACGTTTATAAAGGAGCACCTGGGCGGCTCAGTCTCTTGAGAGTCCAACTCTTGATTTTGGCTCAGGTCATGATCCCAGGGTCGTGGGATCAAGTCCCACTTGAGTGTGGAGCCTGCTTGAGATTCTCTCTTTCCCTCTGCCCCTCTCCCCCACCATTGCGCTTGCTCGCTCTCTTTGTCTCTCAAATAAATTTAAAAAAATTGTTTTAAGTACGAAACTTAGTATGTGATATTTTCAAACTTGAAAATACTTTATATCTCAGAGAATTGATAGCAACACTGAAACAATCACCAACTCTTAGATTATGTAAGTGAAAAAAAACAAACAAACAAGATGTGAGGAATTCTTTGCAATTCTGCAACACCCCTTTTTCATCTATTTACGAGAAACATCCCACCTATACATCTCTAATGATGTTTAGGAATTCTTACATATAATGGAGTTTAGATACAGTACAATTGACTGTATAGAACACTGTCATCTTGATGTCTGGCTGATATAGTTCACTCATTCAAGTAAGACAAGCTGTGTAAATAGTAAGGTGGAAACCTAAAAATTCCTCTCTTCATTCTCCTTTAGATTAGTAGTTAGCTAGTTTTTTCTTTTTTTTTTTTTTTTTTTTTAATGGGGTAGGAGGTGTTTGTGAGGGAAACTAGAGATCCAAAAGAACAGCTTAAGTGCTGATTCTGGTTCACTGGATATTTGAGGCGAAACCCCTTTGCAGTCTGTGGGACTGGCATATACTTTATAATCTTTAAAAAATTACTTAAAATGTATCTGGGCTGGTTAAAAGTCTACCATAGAGAGTGCTAAAATACTTATTATATAAGGCGCTCATGCTACAAAGGTACAATGGCAGAAACCAAACAAACTATTATAAATCAAAAAAATTTTTTAAAGTAATCTCTGCACCCAATGTGGGGCTCGAACTCTCGACTCCAAGATCAAGAGTCTCATGTTCTACCAACTGAGCCAGCCAGGAACCCCTAAAACTTTTCTGATATTAAGTTTCAAAGTGTGTCCACATCAAAAGCTTTGACAGGAAATCTGATTCTTCATTGTGAAAATACTGGCACCAAAGTTTCTTTTGAACTATTTTAAATCATTTGGGTGAGCACTGACATTGAATGCTCATTTTAAAGTGTTTGCAAAAGTGTAAAAGTGTTATAAAACATACCTTATGAATGTTCTGGTTAAGGAGTAAGAATAGGTTCACCTTAAACTCAAAGTTACCCAATCTTGTTGAATTGTCTATTATTTAAATATATTTATCTGTTTTTAGCATGGGAATAACTTATTTGATTTTCCCTTAGAATTCCTAAGATCTTGTAGTATTAGTTTAATGATTAAGCTTAATAAGTTCTTAATGCATCTTAAGATTATCTATGGGTATATTATGTATAACATATAAAATATATGCATATTTACATGTACATATAAATTTATTACATTCAAAATATATATGTTTATTACAGAGCACAATTTTACTCATGGCTGGCTATATTTGCAAAAGAACCCATTATTTTTCATGTTAATAAAAGTTAGCTCCTTTGAATAATCAAATTTTGGATTAATTATTTAAAATTAATGTATTTAATATAAGTAAAACACAAAAGATTATGTCTTTAAATCTACATAACTGAAACATTGGGGAAACTCTTTTTCTCTTCACTTGGCTAAATGAATTTGTGCATTTACAGTAATTAGTTATGTGTTTTATTTGAGTAACTTCCTAAACTGAGAGTCCTTCTCATGGTTTACTCTTATTTACTATTTTTGAGTTTTCAAAGAAAGCTTAGTTGACAAATATTTACATTTTTTCTCCAGTCAACAATTCACAAAATCTCTACTGCTACAAAAGGTATCATTTTTTTTTTAAACAAAGCAACATTGGAAATATTGCACAAAATAATAGGAATCCTCATTCTTTCACTAGCCTTAGAAACCACATGCGTTACCGCAATGTGGAAAGGAAAAGAAACACACAGATTTAATAACAGTACTATATTCTGCATTCTTTATCCAGGACCCAGTTTTATTTTGTGCCTTTTTAAAGGCAATATTTTGTGCATTGTATGATATTCCCTCAATGTGATTTTTAAATTACTTTTGGTCCTATTAGGGTCAACTTATTTTTAGAAAATTAATAAAACATTTTAAAGAAACCTGCTGCACAATTTCTCAGAATTAGAGCTCCACTTTTTTAAAACATAGGAATGCATTTCTAAAACACTGCTCAGGTTCAATTCACATAATTTCACTTCACCTGCTTTGATTTTTAGTGACGCCACGATTCGTTAGTGGACAATATGTTGCCATTTAATGGCACTCTCATCTCTCTCCCTCCTGATATGTTTCCTCCTGTGAATACTAATTGCTCACTTATGCTCTTTTTAATTAAGTTATGTTTTAATTAAAGCTATGAGTTTTTTGAAACTGCAAAAGGTAGAAGTTTTCTTTGTGGCCCAAACTTTTTTTTTTTTTTTTTTTTTTTAAGTTTATCCATGCAAGTTTATCCCTCTTTCCCAAACTTCTTAGCATTTCAGCCAGGGCTCAGAGACCAAGGACTCTCTACGAGTGACCTTACCTTCACAATGTAGTCCGCCACCCGGTTGTATTTGTATCGAATGAAGACCCCCAAGCCGATAGGGAGGAGAGTGCTGCAGAGGGTCAGGGTCACTGCCCCCAGAGGTAGTAATTGCACCAGAGGGGTGTCGATCCAAGCCCGGCTGTAGATCCACAGGCACAGGGGCATCAAGACTAGGGCCAGAAGCGTGGAGGAGATGGTCATGATGATGCTGCAGAAAGGGGAATGAACAGAATTCAGAATGGGCTCTGTGCCAACAGTCTCTCTTGCACATTGGATACAGGAGAAAGAACGAGACTGCAAATCTGGAGTCTGAAGTCAGGGGTGAGAACCTGTTTCATCGGTGCCAAGAGAACAACACCCCTACGCCCAACTGAAACATGAACCCCAGGATGGGGAGGTGGGGGGGGGGGGTGGGGTCGGATCTCAGGACTGCTGCCCCTGGCTTTATAAAGCCTATTGAGCTGGCTACAGTCTGGTTGATTCTGAGGGCAAGAACATCTTTCTTTTTTTTCATCCTCCAAAGCACCCTGTTAGACGTGGTAAGGCTGCTGAACACGACTTGTTGGATGGAACTCAATTATATTGTCCTCTGTATGAGATCACTGTCTTTATCGGGGCCAATAGCCCTATTTTGCTTTTGCATTTCCGGAGAGTCCTAGCTTCAGGCTTCCCAGTTCCCTTTGTCTTCTAGAGGCCGAGGACCTGCGCTGACAGCCCAAACTGCAGAAGGATGGTCCGAGAGCTGTGCAGGAAACCCCAAGGCAGTCGGCGGCCCTGTCCCCGTCTAGGTTTCTCCCCCCACAGCACTACCTCTTCACGTCCGCCTTGGCTTCTAAAGCCCGGGCGTCAACCCCTCGCTGCACTGTCGTCTTCCCCCTCCCACGCCTCTCTCCAACCGCCTCTCCTTCCTCTCCGTCTGAAACCCGCGGCTAAGCGCGGCTGCTTGGCAGGAGAAGATGCCTAAGGACCAGCCCGTACCTGAGGTTCATGTCGCCGTCAACCAGCAGGGACATGAGGTTGGACAGATTCCCGCCGGGACAGCAGCCACACAGGAGCACCGCCACGGCGGCCACCTCGTTCAGCGAGAAGGCCAGGGCCAGCAGGAAGGCCAGCAGCGGCAGCAAGCCGAACTGGCAGAGCGCGGCCAGCAGCGCGCCCACGGGCCGGCGGACGTGCTCCCCGAAGTGGTTCACGTCCACCGTGCAGCCCAGGCCCAGCATGGTGATGCACAGGGCGGCTCCCACGAACACGTTCAGCCCGTGGTTCAGCGGCGTGTCCCAGAACGGGGTCTGGGGGTGCGCCCAGGAGTGGGGGAACAGGGACGGGCCCAGGCTGGCCGAGACGCCCGCCGAGCTGCCTGCCGTCGGCTCTGGGGTGGGCGCGGGGCCGGGGCTGAAACCGTAGCCGGGACTGGGCGCGAGGCTGAGCCCGGGGCTGGGGCCGGCGCTGGAGGCAGGGGTGACGGGCAGGTCGGGGCCGGCGCTCAGGCTGCTGGCATTGGGCGACAGCGTGTAGTTGTCCGGCTGCAGCGAGGACGGGGCGAAGAGCAGCGTCGCGTTGTCGGGGCCGTCCATGGCGCCGAGGCGGGCGGCCGCGGCTCCGCTGTTCCCCGGCCCCGCGCGCCTCTGCCCGCGTCCTGCGGTGCCACCTGCCCGCGTCCGCCTGTCCGTCGGTCCGCAGCCGCAGGCGAAGCTAGGTGCGGAGCTCGGACTGCGCGCCGCTGAAGTCTCTGCGGCGTCGGGTGCTGCGGGAGGTGGGGGGGGGGGGGGTCCTCCGCTGGCGGCACTTAAAGCGCAGCCCCCCAGGGTGAACCCAATCGCCCGGCCCCGGCGCCTGGCAGGCCCCGCCCCGCCGCCGGGTCCCTCCTTTTAATCACCAGTAAGTGGTTCTGTTAGAGTGCAGCCAGGGGCGGAACAAAGAGCTGACAAAGGACAAGAAGAAAAACCGTGCCTGGCTGCCGATCAAGTTCTGTGATGGGCTCTGCCCATTTCATAATGAAATCTGGAGACACGCACGCGCGCGCGCGCACACACACACACACACACACACACGAAGCTTATCAATGCATGCACATGAACTGTATACACTGTTCGAAGAGCCTGCAACCCTGAGCATCGAGAAGGGTCCCGGACTTAATGTGAGCGGTTCTCTGGTAGCAAGACACAATATCTGGCTTTCATTTACTGACAGGTTTTGTTTGTTTTTTTTTAATTCTTAAAAAAAAATTTTTTTTTAAGTAATCTTTACGTAATTTGCTAACAGTTTTTAAATAAAATGCGTTCAGACTCAAAGTAGAAAGTAATAACAATACTGGGGGGTTGGCAAGTGCGTGTGCATTATTTCACTGGATTGTCACAGCAGAGCCTTGCGAGATGCTGTTAACTCGTTCTTACACGTGAGGACTCTGAGGTGCAGGGAAGTCTCAGCCTCGGCAGCCAAACCCACAGGTAGTGTCTGGATGAATGTGCATCTGATATGTCCTTAACGAGGACCCTGGAGAGCTCTGCTAAGAAAAGGCTCTGTGGAAAATGTGTTTTGGGAGTTACTGGCAGTTGGGGAGAGGATATCTCCGTGGCCATAAATTTATGAAGTGTTATGAGCACAGCCTGGCATTGGGATTAAAGGACTAGAAAGAAATAAAGTGGTGGGATTCCCTGCCTCGGGCAGGTTTATCCCCCAAACAAATCAGATTTAGAGTTCACAGGACTGTTGGCTCAGCAACTTTCAGTCACCAGAGGCATCTACAAAGAGAGGGAGCTCGCTGCATACCAGGGAGGTGGAGCCATTTGAGAAGGCATCTATACCTGTCTGGAGACATCATAAAGCCAAAGCCAGGTGAGTTGTGAAAGCCAACAGGAGGATTTTCTAGATAGAAGTCTTAGCTCAGGGCTAGACTGCATGGGGCCAGGACCCCAGAGTGGATTCTTCCCCCTAGGAACTTGTCCCTCCCCACTTTTCTGACACCAGAGGAGACTGGGTGACTTCCATTTCCCAGTGGTGGACTGAGCCCACGAGTTTATCTTTTCTCCTCTCCAAATCTCATGAAAATGACAGAGAATGTGAAAAATAAGATTACATTCACAGCGTATTGCATTCTTAGTCACAAATAAAGTATCTTTTTTCCATTAGACCTTAAATTCCATGAGGGCAGAGCTGCGCAAGCATTTAGGAAAGTAACGTACTGTCATACTTTCCTAAAACAGTAGAGCCAAGAAAACCATGCAGTGACATCTATTGAGCTCTGAAGGAAGTGGAACATGACCAAAAATATTCTAGGTGTTCATTCAGGCTTATGTAAGCAAAACAAAGATACTCAGATATACAATGAAACACGTCACCCGAATACTTTCCTTAAGTAAGTATATCCAGGGGAGACCCGCGGAGAAACAGACAAAATAAGGAGGGGCCCCTGCTGAGCCTTCACATTCTTTAAACCACAGGATGAGATTAGCCAAGAACACAAATGGCAGAGGGCCAGCTGAAGCCTAACTGTAGACACCGCCCCTGTTTTTGCCCCCTCCTTGTGTTAATGATATTAAAATCCACAATCAAATTCAATAAGCGGTAATTAGAGGCAGCCCAACTCATCCAACTAGCTCCCGTCTTGGTTTGGGGAGGGATATGGGAGGTGATTTATGCCATGGACAAAGAGCAAGAAGCAGAAAGGGAGGGGCCTGGCTTGTAAATCAGCAGGCTCACAGTAAACCTGCAGTTCTGGGGGCTTCTTGGGGCCTGCGGAGTGGTCATCTCTCCTCCTGATGTAGTTATTGTCAATGTAAAGAAAGCCTCCCTCTTCTTTCTGATCTTCTTCACTGGAAGAAAACCCCAGGAGTAGAAAACAGAGCTCACAATCAGGTATGTTACTGGTGTAGCCTCCTCAATTACCTTTCTTTTACTCTTGCTGCCACCAAGGAGGGTCCGGCCCATCCAGAGGAGAGAGAATATATAGAAGGGCAAGACAACAACATAGCACCCGGAAAATATACAATGGGGGGCTGGGGAGGTGAGAAATAAATTTAGAACTATGTTGCACACCGAACACCAAAAATAATTCCAAATAGATTAAAGAGTTAATAATGATAATGATAATAATGATGATGATACAACCAAATACTGGAGAAAAATTTTGGCTCATATTTATATCATCTTTGGATAAGGGAAGTCTTCCTAAGCAAAAAAGCAACAGAAGAAATCCTAATGGGAAGCTCACTAGATATGGCTACATAAACATTTTATGCACAGCAGTAAAGACAGAAGGGAAAAAAGTTAAATGCAAATTACAAAATGAAAAAAATATTTGAAACATATAAAATCCAGAGCTAATTTTTAAAAACTTTTAACGTTTATTTATTTTTGAGAGAGAGAGAGAGACAGAGAACAAGTGGGGGAGGAGGAGAGAGAAAAGGAGACACAGAATCTGAAGCAGGCTCCAGGCTCTGAGTTGTCAGCATAGAGCCAGACAGGATTGGGGGGCGGGGGCCCTCAAAACCACAAACCACGAGATCATGACCTGAGCCAAACAAAGTAGGTCGCTCAACCAACTGAGTCACCCAGGCGCCCCATGAGCTAATATTGTTAATTTACAAAATAGTTTCACAAATTAATGAAAACAAACAACACAATAGGAAAAAGGCAAATGATACGAATAGACACACAAGATCACAGAAAGGAATGCTAATCACCATATACTTCTAAAAATATTCACACTCACTAATAACCAAAGAAATTAAAGCAATTAAATGCCATTTTTATTGGAAAATACTGAAATAAATACGATAGTGTTGTGGCAAAGGTGCTGTTAACTGGACAGTCTCTCATCCTGGCAGGGGTATATCTTTTCGAGAAGGAAACTTGGTGAGTAACAATTGCCCTAAGAATGTGTATTTCCTTTGATCCAGCAATTCTTTTTCTAGGTGTTCATTATAAGGAAACAGTAAGAAAAAATAATTAAAAACAATTTTTTTAACGTTTATTTATTTTTGAGACAGAGAGAGACAGAGCTTGAACGGGGGAGGGTCAGAGAGAGGGAGACACAGAATCTGAAGCAGGCTCCAGGCTCTGAGCTGTCAGCACAGAGCCCGACGCAGGGCTCGAACCCACGGACTGCGAGATCACGACCTGAGCCGAAGTCGGACGCTTAACCGACTGAGCCACTCAGGCGCCCTGAAAAAATAATTTTTTAATGAAAGCTACATTGAGTGTGTATTATATACAGACAATCTTCTAAGCCTTTGCACGGACCATCTCCTATAACCCTTAGGATAGGCTTAATGGGGTTAGAAATTTGGCAAGTTATCGCCTACTAGGGAGAGAGCCAGGAGTGGAACCCAAGCTTTTGGATCCCAAAGTCTGTATCCTAAGCGTGTTGCAGTGTGGTTAAATCAATGAGTACACTAATACAGGAGACTGCTATGCAGATACAAAGTACCATGTTTATAATCAGAGTTCTTAATCTGGAGTCCATACATGAATCTAAGAACCTCTTGAAATGATGAACTTTTCTGTATATGTACTTTTTTTTTCCTGAAAAACGAGTCCATGAATTTTCCCAGGTTTCTAAAAGAGTCCAAGATCTATTTAGAGAAATAATAAGAATAAGGGAGAAGTTCTTGTGATAAAATCTTAAGTGATAAAACAAGCTATAAACACACACACATACACTTATATTCTAGTAAATATATTGAATATATATAAATTTAGAGGGAATTTCTCCAATGTATAGTATATCTGAGTGATAGGATTAAAAGTGATTTTTAGGGGTGCCTGGGTGGCTCAGTCAGTTAAGCATCAGACTTCGGCTCAGATCATGATCTCACAGGTCGTGAGTTCAAGCCCCATGTTAGGCTCTGTGTTGACAGCTCAGAACCTGGAGCCTGCTTTGGATTCTCCCTCTCTCTCTGCCCCTCCCCTGCGTGCACTCTGTCTGTCTGTCTCTCTCTTTCAAAAATAAATAAAGATTTTTAAATTTTTTAAAAAAACAAAAGTGATTTTTAGGGTTGCCTGGGTGGTTCAGTCAGTTAAACATCCTACTCTTGATCTTGGCTCAGGTCATGGTCTCAAGGTTCATGGGATGGAGCCCTACATGAGGCTCTGCAGTGACAGCACAGAGCCTGTGTGGGATTCTCTCTATCCCTCTCTCTCTGCCCTTTACCCTCTCCCCCACACGCTCTCTCTCAAAGTAAATAAACATTTAAAAGTGATTTTTAGTTTTTTCTCTATATTTTATGGTGTTTCTGAATTTCTGCCATAATAGTATTTGATAATGAGAAAAGTAGTAATGTTATTTTTAAAATAAAAAACCCAGAGGAAAAATAAATTCCACAAGTGTCGAGGGCTAAGTCACTTTAATCAATCCACAGGGAAAATAAAGGTTGATAGAGAAAAATAGGCAAAAGACAGACAATATACAATAAAAAAGTGTATGCTCTTCATTAAATGGAAAAAGTTGTACTTCTCTAGTCGTTAACTAAACACAAAATATGAAACTTAAAACCAAACTGACAAAAATTCTCAAAGTCAACAACATCTAATGCTGGAAATGCCATGGAAAAAGCACTCAAACACCTTTGACGGTGCTGAGGTATTTGATACAGCTTCTGGGCAAAGCAATTTGATAATACAACCCTGCTTCTGGAAATTTTTTAAAATTAGAATTATTTCAGGTGATGTGCCAGAAACCCTAACTCACATTGGTTTAAGGCCAGAAAGGGCATTTATTGACTCGTGAAAATGAAAAATCTCCAGCTGTGGCTGGCTCCCAAGTTAAAATGAGGACTCCGTCCCTCTCCATGTCTCAGCTCTACTGGTATCTTCATTTTCATGTATACTTTCTCCATAGGGAGGTTCAACAACTCCCCATACAGTTTTTGGCAAACAGAGCGTTCCT